TGGTTGGTTACAGGTGGCGCAGTCATCAATGGAACGGTACTGGCTGAACTCGAATAAATTGGCGATATTCGTTGAGGATAGCGTTGCGTTGTGGACAGAGCACTGGGATGGTAGACTGAGTTTGCAGGCACAGATCAGGGATTCATGTTACGAGAATGTGCTGGTGAGTTGGTTTTTTTTTTTTGTGGTGGTATTTGATTGGGTTTGGATTGGATATAGAGCGTATTTATGGATTTATGGATTGATTTGTTGATGTGGCAGAGGATAGAAGTGGGCTGGAAGAGTGAGAATCGAATGGCGTTCGAAAATTTCAGAGCGATAAAATGGCACCCAGACTGAGCTACACGGTATTCACGTTGAGGAGTGGTGGAGACGTGACCACATTGAAAGATTTTCATTTGGCAGTACATCGGAGCCTTTATTCGGGGGGTGTGAGTCTGCCGGATGAGGTGGTAATTCGACACCCGATTTGGACGACATGGGCAAGGTTTGGTTTTTTTTGGTTTTTGGTTTGGGTTCATTTGGATTCAGTTTCAAACTACGAACTACAAACTATAAACTATGTCGTGGTGCAAACTACACATTGTGGTGTTTAGTTTGTGGTTTGATTTTTGCAGATACAAGCAAGATATAAGTGAGGATAAAGTGCTGCAATTCGCTGAGGAGATATTGGAGCATAAGGCAGCGATATCGCAGTTGGAGCTGGATGACCGGTGGGAGAGGTCCTACGGCGATTTTGAGGTGAGTGGGAGAATAATATGACGCTGTTAGAGATAATAACGGCGATTTTGAGGTGAGCTGGCGAATAATATGACGCTGTTAGAGATAATATGAAGTATTTTTTATTATTTTCAGTTTGATTCGACGAGATTCCCGAATGTGGAGAGGATGTGTGATGTGCTGAGGTCAAAGGGCATACGACTTTCATTGTGGATTCATCCGTTTATCAATTTGGATAGTAATAATGCGAAGGATAGGAATATTTGGGGATATATGGTGCAGACGGGATATAACAAGGAACCAGCTCGGGTGGATTGGTGGAATAAGGCTGCATATGTGGTGGATTTCACGAATCCTGCAGCGGTATATTGGTTTAGAGAGCGATTGGATGCGTTGAAAAAGGTAATGTTTGGTGTGTATATTTGGGTTTGGGATTGGTATTATTTATTGCTGTGATTAATTATTGTTATTGTTAATATATAATAATAAATAATATGCATATATAATAATAAATAATATATATTTGTAATTAGTGAAAATAATTTGAAGTTGGGTGTGTACTCGTTTAAATTCGATGCCGGAGAGGTGACATATTTACCGAAACGATTCCGGTTGTGGCGGAATGGGGCAAATATTAACGATTATCAGCGATGTTATGCGGAAATGGCCGCGGAATTTGGGAATGCAGTAGAGGTGGGTGGTGTGGTGAAAATATTTTAGTTGGCGGCTTGCCAAAAGGTTGACCTGAAATGATTTTTGTTGAATTTCAGGTTAGGGTGTGCTCGCGGACGCAGAGTCTGCCGATATTAGTGAGGACATTGGATCGTCTTTCGACGTGGTTAGTGAGGTTAAAATATTTTTTTGGAATGGTAAAAAGTATTTTACAAATAATAAATATTTTTTATAATAATAAATATTATATATATTTAATTATTGTTGTTATTATTAGATATAATAAATAATAATAATAAATATAATTAAGGGATAACGCAGGATTGGGGAGTGTTCTGCCGATAGCACTGAATTATTCACTGCACGGATATTACTTTAATCTGCCGGATATCGTTGGTGGAAACTTTTATGGGGGGATTAAGNATAGCGTTGAATTATTCACTGCACGGATATTACTTTAATCTGCCGGATATCGTTGGTGGAAACTTTTATGGGGGGATTAAGGCGGATAAAGAGCTGTTTATAAGGTGGATGCAGGTGGGGTGGTTGTTTATTATTATTTATTATTATTGTTATTATTTATTATTGTTTATTTATTATTATTTATTGTTATGTTATTATTTATTATTGTTTAGTTGGGGTGGTGAGTTCGATTCCGGGCTGGGTCTTAATTTTTGTGGAATTTTGGAGGATTGATTATATAGATTGTTATTGTTTTTGTTGTTTGTTTGTTATTATTTATTGTTGTTTATTATTATTTATTATTATTGTTATTTATTATTATTATTGATTAATTTGTATTTTTCAGTTGAATCAGTTGATGGTGTGTATGCAAATGTCGAAAGCGCCGTGGGAGTATGATTTGGAAACTTGGCAAGTGTTCAAGAAAA